GGTTCCTTCGCCTTGTTGAGTGTAGAAGGAGCATTTACTAGTAGAATTTTAAAAGAATAGGACTTTGGGGGAGTTGGCGTAAGCTAAGATTGACCGAATCACTAAAAAAATCTTAGTTTTGATTTTATTTTAACTTTTTAATACTTCGTTTCTTTCAAATTTAATTATCTAGAATTGTGTTATTATACAATTGAGATTACATTCAAGAAATATTTATCCAAAACAATATTTTCATAAGCTTTTTATTAATCAAAATTAATCACTCACGTAATTTTATTTCTTTCAAAATAAAAACAAAAGAAATATTTTTAGCACTTTTTGCTCTAAAGTTATATTATTGTTTTAATTTTTTTTTTTGCTGCACGTTGTGTTGTATTGTTCAGATAAATTTTTTTTTTAAAAAAAAAAAATATGTATATATATATCACCAATTCAACCCCCTCTTAGTAGTGCCACGACACTTTCAACCTCTACGCCATCGAATATGCAACGAATGCATGCAAGCAGACATAATGCATTCTTAAAATCTTAAAATGAAATATTAAACGCATCCTAATAACTAAATATTCTAGCAAATAATAAGATCAAGTATTTTTAACCATATACAAGCACCTTAGCACAACTTTCAAATTCAAGTGCAATATCTCAAAAAGTGGGTACATGTTTATGCTCCAAAAGTGCATTGATGCCTTGAAAAGTTTATAACTATTTAAAAACATGTAACTATAGTGAGAAGCATGTAATTACCTTGATAAATGTAAAACTAGTCCAAAAAGCATGCCACCATTTCACAAGCACATAAGTAAATAAAAAAGAATATGTGCACACTTTGCAAATGCAATGAAGACTACTCATTTTAATCAAATACATACATTACAATTATAATGATATTGGGTTTAAAATCTCAGACCCCATGGTTAAATATATTAAACAATATCACTCAAACATTAACGTTGATTCAAGTTTAATTTTTTCTAGAATTCCATGAACTCTCAATTAATTATTGAATAAAATTAATTTATATTAACTTAGAATAAATAATAATAAATGATAAAACTTTTAGGGTTAGCATTTATATTACTTAACTATATTAAGATGGAGGGGATGATAATATGAGGAGAAAAAGGAGAATAATAAGAGGAAAAGAAAAACAGACATTTCATTCTTTTGCACTTCCCTTAATATCCGATCAAACGACCTAGCCAAAATCATCAGGTACAAGATTGGGGGCTATCTTTCTTGCACTAAGAACTAACACACTTGTGTGTTTTCTTGGGCTTGTGCACACTACTCTTTCTCAATATCTTTTAATAAATTGATGTCCTAAGGGTTTTGATATGATCCCAATAAATAGAATTGGGGTGATGGGAATTTATTAAGGTGAGTTTGATTGGGTAGATTGACCTAGTCTAAGGAAAATAATAATAAGAGTTGTTACGCCATTAACTGTACCTTTGACCTTGCTGAGGTTAGGGATGAGGTGTATCATGAGAAGGATGTGAAACAAGTGTTTTGAGGAGTTGCATGAGTTAAGTGGCTAGCCCCTTGCTCTTATATATAGAAATAAGATGGTGGATTTAGAAGATTAACCTCTTAACATTATATTTTCATATAATGGTAGAGAAGAGTTAGAAGATTAACCAATTTATATTGTATATACAACTAAGAAGGGCATTGAGTTAAGGGAGCAACCCCTTTTCATTATATATATAATCCATTTGTTATAATTATAGGAATGGGTGACGTATATTGTATAAAGTTTAAAAATAACATCACAAAAAAATTAAAATTATCTGATCGGGGATTTCATAAATTTATAAAGAAAAATATATATATGCTAATGGATCAATGTGTCATTATCCCCTTCCCCTATTGAAAATGAGCAATTGCCCTCTTGCAAATCTTAGATATCAAGACAGATTGACAACCTAAGGGAGAAAAAGATAGGGGTGAGCAGCAGAAGCGTAATGTTGTTAAAACAGTTGAATGTTCCAACTATATGGTTGGGTAGCAATGTAATAAATCTTTTATTTTTAAAAAGTATAGTTCTAACATTTGATCAATACTTATACTAATTTTAATTTTTTACAGCATATTGATCTTTTAATAAAAGAGCAAATTTGATAATACCCAAAATAAGTAGTCATCGCACATACAATTTAATGATTGCCCTATATCTTAATAATAGTTATTGTGGAGTGTATGCAATATTACACACAATATGCTTGATCTTAAGGAAAAATCTTCTAAAATTTACACATAATCATTTACAATTCTTTAGGGACTATTTATACACAACTTTATTCCACATTAATGCAAAGCCATATATTTAATTAATATTTTGATATAAATAGTCATTCTTTGTGTTTACTTATTACTCAGATTAACATAACTCTGTATAAGTTGTAGATATTGTTAACGGTTTCATGAATTTACTTCAAATTTCTAAAATGAACCTTGAAACAAACTGAATATAAATTGAACACAAACCAAATATGAACATCAATCATTTAAAAGAATCAAACTTGAAAACAAACAAAAAAGCTCGAATCGAGTTTGAATCAAGCTTGAACAAGTTGATAATAAAAGTGCTCAAATATAAACAAGCACCTGCGCATCTTGGTATGACTCGTTTGCAACTCTAATTATAACCTACTTTATCATCACAACTCTCTTTGTTATGGAAGTTGTGATGATTTCTCACATTATTCTTTCTACATTACATCAATTATATTATTTTCTTATTGTTGTTGTTTCGTTAAGAGATAAACCCTCTGTAATATCATAATTTGTACCCTTTAATGCCTCAATCTTAGTTATAATCCAAAATTCAACTATGATCAAACAATTTTTGAACGATGATCAAACATTAAACAAACAATAATCGAGTCGTAATTGATCTATCTCCATATAATATTTGCATGATCTAAGAACCATGATAAAAAAGATCGAGTAATGTTCATAAAATGATCAAGCTTCATCAAATAATCATTGATTCATAGTTAAATAATTATCACACTATCTTCATACTATATTAGAATCACAAATTATCTATATTTAAATCAACACCTATCAATGATAGAAACATATTTGATTCAATTCTATAAGCTTTAACTTCAAAAAATAGTGTGGATTGTACCTTAGTATTTGTAATTTGATATGAAGTGAACATTCAAACATATATTATGTTTATTTAAAAAAATTAAATAACATAGATATTTATACAATTTGCACTATTAAATATTAATACAATATACATTTAAAAGAGCTTTTGAAAATTCAGAAAACCCATGGCACCAAAAACCCTCCATAGAACCCCTAACACTTCGGTCCTTCTAACCTCACCATGCTTCTCTTGCGTGCATTTCTTAGCGCGAGGGGTCCTTCCGGCCGCAGATTCGCCCACCGGCGAGCGGTGGCCGACGCTACCCTGGTAAAACCTCAATCTGGACCTCCGTCTCCGCCGCCGACCCCTCCACGGCCGCCGCAAAAACCGATACCCTTCACCATGCACGGCTTCACCTGGCACGACCCTTACAGCTGGATGTCGAATCTCTCCGACAGTGTCTCGATGCGCCACATGGACGTGTACATGGAGCAAGAGGAGAAATACGCCGAGGCGGTGATGATCGCCGCCGACGCCGACCGCCTTCAGCGCAAGATCCAGATCGAGATGGCTCCTCGTATGTCCTCTGATCTCTGCTCACCGCCCGTTCGTTGGGGTCCGTGGCTTTACTATAGCCGCGTGGAGGAGGGGAAGCCATTTCCGGTGCTCTGCCGACGTAAAGCTAGCTTGCAGGAGGAGTTCATTTCTTACAATACGCCATCTGTCGGCTTCGACTTAACTGCCGGCAAGAGAATTGAGCAGAAGCTGCTTGATTATAATGCTGAATCTGAGCGATTTGGAGGTAAGCCAGCAGAAAATGTTTTTTTGAATACGAACTTATCTTACTTTTAGTGTCTGTTTGGTATCTCTGATTTGGCATTAGATTTAAGCAGGATTTAACCTAAATCCAGCGATCTCATATTCATGAAGTTTTTATTGCAAATAGATTCAACGGTTCCTATCTGGAACCGTTACTCAACCTCCCAAATATTTACTTGGCACAGATGGCATTCTGGCTCCTAATCCCAACTATAATCAGTTGTTATTGATCAGCCAAAATCTGACATCAACTCTCTATTCAGTCATTTCAGCTCCTTTGTTACCTTATGTTTTGAATATTGACACCTACAATGAACTCATGCAAACGCTTGATAAAGGTTGAAATCCTCAAATCGATCTTGCATTTTACAACTCAAAACTCAAAAGTGAGCGGCATTACTTAACTATGAAAGATCAATCTATGACTCAATCTATGTCTACAATTAAGGCCTAAGTGGATGCAATTTTAGTTTGTTTCCAATACCCTTGATCCTGAGGACATCATCTTATATACCATAAACAGTCTACCAACATCATATCATGCATTCAACATGTCTATTTACACAAATTTGCAACCTCTTAGTCTGGATGATCTTTATTCTCTCCTATGCAACGAAGAAGTCAATCTCACCATTAATGATATACGTGAAGTGCAGATTGCTGAATCCACTGAATCACAAGCTGCCCTCAACACCACTCGAGGATGTTCTTATGGTCGTGCTCCATTATTCTACTCTAACCGTAGTAGATCAGGCTATCGTCCTTATATTCCCTTAAGTGAATACGAAAATTGTCAGAAGAAGGGATATACCGCTGTTAACTGTTGATTTTGAAGTGATCTAAATTACCAATCTCCTTCTTCCAATTCCCCTGTCACATTGTTTCGTGGGTTTTGTTATTATGCTATTTTTGTGAATGTCTTCTCATACTATTGTTGGCTATTTCTTACAATAATAACAACAACATCAACCTTTTACCCTACTACGTGTGGTCGGCTACATGAATCTTTTTTCTTCATTATAGCCTATTAAGAGTCAAATTCTCATTTAAATTTAATAAAAAAAACTATTTCTAATATTTTTAACCAAATATTTTTAGATCTACCTTAACATTTCTTAACATAGGACAAATCTAATATATCTACTCTACTAACTGGGTCATCGGAAAGCCAATGTTTTATGTGTCCAAACAATCTAAGGTGACTCTCTCTAATCTTATTTGCCACTAGAGCTACTCCAACCTTTTCACGTATATACTCATTTCACATTCCATCTTTAAGAGTGCCACTCATCCACCTAAGCGTCCTCATCTCTGCAACAACTTTATTTTATGCTTCTCTTTTAATGGCCAACATTTTGCGCCATAAAGCATTATATGCCTCGCCTCCATCTTATATAATTTTCCCTTATGTTTTAAGTTTGAAGGGTACTTTTTTGTCAAACAACAAAGCTGATGCTTTCCTCCATTTCAACCATTCAACTTGAATTCTACTAATCATATCTCCATCTATTTCACCATCACTTTGAACAATAGACCTGAGATATCTAAATCATGCACTCTTATTAATAACTTGATCACTTCAAGTCACAATCCTCCCATTATATCTATTACTACTAAAATTATATTATGTATTTAGTTTTAGATCTACTCAAAACGAAAACATTTTGACTCAAGTTTGACCTCCATAATTTAAGTTTTCCTTCAACTCCCTCTATAGTCTTATCTACATGAAGAATATCATCAACAAAAAATATACACCAGTGTACATCCTCTTGCAAATGTTTAATAAGAACATCCATGACTAAGGAAAAAAAGATATGGGCTTAAAGCTGATCCTTGTTGTAATCCAATTGAAATAAGAAAATACTTTGTTAAACCACCTTGTGTTTAACACAAGTAACAGGCCCCCTACATACATATCATAAACCTTAATTGTTGGTTATTCTTATGATGCATAAATTTGAATCGTTCGTTAATATTTATCAATATAAATATTCAATCTAAAAACAACTTTGTCATTCAATATTCACCCATAGAATTGATGGTGGAGGTGAATTCACTAGTAAAGCATTTACTTTTTTTCTTTTCGGGCCAACACAACATAACTCATCAATTCAACTGCCTTTATACACCTGAGAAGAACGGGGTTGCTGAATGCAAGCATTGACTTATAATTGAAACTACTAATACCGTTTTACTAGATGAAAATCTACCACATAATTTTGGGTATCTATTACCTTAACATCTATTTATTTATTAAATCTCATGCCCTCTCCAACTACACACTCCCTGCCTCCATTTCAGCTACTATTTCGTCAAGCTCTCACATATAATTATCGTTGTGTCTTCGGCTGTTGTTGTTAACCTCTCTCACCTCCTACTGGTAAGCATAGATTGTCCCCGACAACTTAAGGGTTATCACTGTTTTAATCCTCTCACGAGAAAAGTAATAATTGCCCGCCATGCTCACTTTTAAGAACACATTATGCCTTTCAAGACTACTTGCCTACTTTCTATCTCCTTTGTACACTCAGCTTCATTTATCACTCCATCATTATCTCTTGTGCCTTGCTCTTGCCCTCCTAGTTCTATTCCACCGCATACTTCTTCCCAATCTTCGATCAATACTTATGCAGCCGCTTCTTCTCTTAAATCTGCGCCTCAACTGATCCCTTCCCCCATAATGCCCCTCCCCTCAACGAATCCCTTCCCCCACACTTAAGCAACCACTTCTGCTCTCTCTTTTTTATTGAATTGCTGCTTAAGGCAGACTTTTATGATTATGGTGTCTTAGGTGATTCTCCCCTCTATGTCCAAGCCATGGTATACTGAATAAAACACGCACTGATGGTCAATCCAGTCATTTGTGGTCATTATCCATTGCTCAAGGATGTCTATTTTTTGTTACCTAGTCTATATGATAGTGGAATATTGAATGCAGATTATATTATGCAAGGAGTTTCTTTAGGTTATTTTATAGAAGATCTATTTATTTCCATTGCTTGAATTACATATTTAACAGAAGATGCTAGTATTATTTGGACAAATTTGCAGTGGAAAGCTGTTTGAGTCATTTTCATATGTTGTTTGCTTAAATTTTACCCGCTTATATTTACTTAATTTATTCTTAAATGCTCGTAGTTTAGAAAATTATGGTTAATTTATGGAGTACAACATGTATTCTTTTACTGTTTCACCACGGTTAATCTATTTACTGACATGATTTTCCCCATCCATTTATAGGTTACTCTTATGAAGAACTATCTGAAGTTTCTCCAGATCATCGTTTCCTTGCATATACCATGTATGACAAAGAAAAGGACTCCTTCACTTTATCCGTGAGGGATTTAGCTAGTGGTACTCTACTCGACAAACCAAGGGCCGATCGAGTTGCAAATTTGTCATGGGCAATGGATGGAAAGGCTCTGCTTTACACTGTTACAAACAGTGAAAAAAGGCCACATCGGTGAGTATGCCAGAAAGTTATGATCCAATGAGATGTACATGCTGATTGTTCCATGTTTTTAATTTCCATTTGATGCGATATGAGACACTCATAAAAAATTTCTTGTATTTTTAAGAATTTTCTAGTATTTTCAAATTAATTTTAGTATTTTATTTTAGTTTTACTGTATTTAATTATTAGGATTATCTTTTTTTTTTAATAAATTTGATGAACTTTTTATAAACTTGTATAGATTTATGTTTTAATTTGGTTTGAATTTTAAATTTAATTTAATTTCTATAAATAGGGGTTTTATTGCTTCTTCTAATTAATCCAATTATACATTCATTTTGAATCAATATTCATTTTCTCTTTTGCTCCTCTCTCTCTCTGTGCTTCCCTCCCCCTACACACATGCATGTTATTCTCTGCATCATGAAAACTAAGAAAAGGCTTCTATATGATTCTTTAGAAGAATAATTCTATTTGTCCCAAGGGAGTTGATGAAATACAAGGCATGCAAAAGTTTTTATAACATTCTCTTGAATTTTCCTTTATTTTAAAGTAATGTTAGGATTTTAATTCAACTTTAGTGTATTTAATTGCTAGGAGTATCTTAATTAAATTAGATGATATGATTTATTTGACTTATAGATTGAAGATTTAAGTTATTTTTAATTTTAAATTGTAATTCTATTTGTATTAATAGTTATTGCTTGTTATTGAATTAATCCAATTATGCGTTCAATTTGAATCAAGGTTCCTTTCACTCCCCAATAATTCCTCCCTATTCATCAGCTTGTTCTCTCCACATGATCTATATTCTCTTTATCCATCCGCATATATCATATCCCATGATTTACCCACTGAATTACTCTTTGGCACACGCATCCTGAGGCTTTTTTTTCTGCATATTTTCTCTCTCCTAGCTGCTATGCAACCTAAATCCCAAGTAAGCAATGCACATCCAAAGGATAGAATTCAAGAGGAGAAGAAAACTGAAGATAAAGCAAGGTGACATACATTGAAGGCTTGATATTAACTTAACATCAGATATATCTTCTTCATACATCACAATATCTTTTCGTTTATCTGTTTATGTTGCGTCTACTTTTGATTCGTTAGTAACAAGTAATTTATAGGTGATCCAAATGTACAAGGGCTTGTACTCCACAAGGCATATGGAGAATGGTGATTGTCTAGGCATTACTTTCTAATGTAGATATTGCCTTTTTTATTATTTTTCCAAAAAAAAAAAAAAAAACTGAACTTGCCATGTATGATTTTTGAAGTTCTTAATTGAAACTTTGTCTGTTGAACAAGTGTCTTCTACGTTCTCTCTCTCTTCTTGAGATACTCAGCAAGAACATATTTTATTCCTTCTCTCCATGTTACAAGTTCCCAATGTTGAAAACAATGATGATTTTATAATAATTATTTTTTTATAAAGCTTATTTTGTGCTTCAAGCCAGTTGCGTTGTCTTGAACTTATGCATATACTTTATGATGATCAGTGGAAATAATTTTTAAGCAAGTTAAATAAAAGTTGTTTTTCATTCTCTTTTGCATAACTTCCATGACTTTTATGCTCAAGAGTGTTTTGATGCTAGATTTTTAGGATAATTCTTATAGAATTTTCCTGCTAAATCCATGACTTCAATAATGAGAAAGGTTTTTATTTCTTACGTATAATCATTATTCTTTTTATTGTCACCGCTCAGAATGTAATTCTCGAGGAACCTGCTGTTTCTCTTGAGGTTGTTGATTTCTGTGACACGCATATGGTGCTTGTTCTGAAAGAAGACAAAAGATATAGGCTTTGCTCAATTTTGCTGCCTTTGGACGCAGTAGTTTGAAGATTCTATGTTCTATCTGTTTTTAGCAAATATGAAATAGTATTATAAGTACCATGAAGTTGGAGAAATCTCCAGTCATGAACTTGGAGAAGTGCATCTTCTTCACATCAACATGGTCCCAGTAGAAGTGTTCCTCAAACTTCCTACAGTGCTACTTCCATTTCTTGCAATGCCTACATTCCTTTCCCATTACAAAAACCTGGTTGACATGGAAAATGGTAGGGAAAAAAATGCCAAATAACACATAGACCATGGGTAAGAACATAGAATCCTCAAACTACTGAAACAACCGTTATTCTAAATTAATTGGATGCACCTTTTTAATAAAAAATTAAAAATAGGTGTCATTTTCAGAAGCATCAGCCAAAGATTAAAAAAAAACATAAAATGGAATACAAATCAGGTATAGGAGAAGCTCATTCATTCATTTTTTTTCCTGTGTACAACTCAAGAACATGAAAATTTTAAAAGAACATAAAGACCTCAAACATGTATATAAAACAAGTGAGTTTTCTATATTACAAGGTGATATTATCTTCAAAGCCTTAGAAAAATGGTGGTCATGGCGACACTGCAAAAAGAATAAAAGGTTTAGGTCCATTCAACTTGCATTTCATTGATGGGGAAGAGAATGATATACTGCAATAATGTAAAAGAAAATAACAGACTTTAGCAAAATCTATTAAATAAATAATAGAGTCAAATGGCTAGCTCCATCAGAAACAATAAAACTGCCTTGATCCTTAATAAAAAATGGGTCCTTGCTTCTCCTTACAAATAATCTACGAACAAAAAGTTAAAAAGAGGAAGATCAAGAAAGATCAAACTGTTCAGCTTTCGTTGAAGAAGGCTTACCTTCTCTCAGTCGGCAGTCCCCTGCCCTTGGAGAACTTCCCCTCCTGAACTTCGTGAAGCCTTCCTAGCTTTTTGCGAGCACCAAGATCCAGGCTGCTGGATTCTAAATTTATTAGTAATACAGCTATTACAGTGAGAAAATTTTGGTTCACAAATGTTTTATTTTTATTAAGCTATAATAGAATGAAAATCAATGTAGGATTTACATGCATATCACTTTATTTATTTATTTAATATTTAATATTTAATATTATATTTCTATCCCTAATCTAAAATTTTAATATCAAATTTATCACTCATATATATCATTCATATCACTCATATCATCCTATAAATTTTAATATTTTATTCCATGTACCTATATTTATTTTATGAGTTACAGGCATATTTTATTCCATGTAACTATTATGACCGATAAGGAAATTATGGTGACTAGCGGTGTCGAATGGGTCACTACTACTTGTGCGAGTCCACTTATGACGATCACCATGATAGTGTATGAGAAAAAGAAGTGCATATCGTTACAAATGAAGAGGCGAGTCCTACTGAGGGGAATAACAATGAGAAGTTTGGATGAGTTCGCCTCCATTAGAGAGGGTGTGAGTGCACCCACAACACTTCCAAGAGTAGATAAGTGAAAGAATGACAAGTTCATTTACTTAAAAATTGCATTATTAGGAAAAAAAAGTACAAAAGTTGTGTTTTTTCAAGAGAGTTATTACAGGGTCCTTATAGAGAATAAAAGAGTACAAGGAAGTACAGGTTGTATGGAAACTCTTATTTATGTCTTTCCAGGATTAAAAAGAACAAGCAAAAGAGGGACGAACTTTTCTATCCATGTCAATCCATACACTAGTATAACAAAAAAAAATGTAAGGACCAAAAATAAAAGAAACTTGAAGCTCCTCGTAAGCAAGAGAATTATCTTTTGCCACTTCATCTTCATAAACATGTTGCAAGAGAATTATCTTTCCCATATAGTTGTCTTCCATTATAGATAGAAGAGGAAATTTTTTTTTTTGGTACAAATCAGCTCCATTAATAGAATCTTGATTTTCCTCATTTGATTGTTTCCTCCACTAGTGCATAACAAAACTCGATACAATCCATATTCAAGCTGAATTCTCTTTATCAAATTAAAGATTTTTGGATTGGTTGTAGAGGTCAACAAGTACTTTTCTAGCTTTCACACTCCAAGATGGAGACAATACAATGTAGAGAAAAAAAGTAGCCGAGGACCTCTCCTATGGTGCTCTCCATCTCTCGATTAGACATAGAGCAGCTCTCTCCCTCTCATTTCTCCTTCACACAGAGGAAGCCGCCCCCCACGCATTCAATTGCTCCTGCTTCACTATGCTGACTTCCTTACCAACCTATTTCCCTCATGCTCTCACACGCCAAGGAGGCGAAAGCCCCCGACTCATCTATTCGCACTCACACGGTCAGCTCCTCTTGATCGAGCAACCTCTTATCGCCATTCCAACTACTTGAACAAAGAGAAAGGAGAGTTTGTTGCTCTTCTTCCATCTAAACAGAGAGAAAGAGGTATTTTCTTTTTGTTTTGTCTTCTTTCATTTAACTAAATGAATGAACAAAAGCTTGTGAAGAGCAAAAAAATCTGTAAAAAAAGTATACATTTCTACATGTATATTTTACTTTTATTTATTCTCAGTTGGCTGTAACAAGGAAGAATGCCAATGACATTGGTCGAAGGTAGTTGATTTATCTCCTAAACTATCCAGCAATGAATTTTCTATTGTTACAACCAAGTGGCTGTATTTTGCACTGCTTCATTTTCAAATAGACATGTTTTAGCCCCTTATTCTAATTCCTTAAAAATCAAAATGAATAAAGCAAAAAAGAGGAGATATGTTCGGGTTAAACCGATCTTGTTAGTATGAATGAATATTCTATGGTTTAGTTTTCTATTTCCTTAAAATCGAAATGAATAAAGCAAAAAGAGGAGATATGTTCAACTTAAATCAATCTTGTTAGTATGAATGAAATTTCTATGGTTTATATGATATCGATTCAGGAATGCATATTAAAAAAAACTGAAATGAAAAGTTTCTTGGAGCATGAACAAGTCCTATGGCTTTGTTTGTATCAATCTATGTTGCCCCGATACAGATACGGCGACAAGGATATGACACAATACCGATACGGGACCTGTCAATTCTTAAAAATACAAGATATGGGTACGGCGCGGACATGATATTATAATTAATAAATTATACATAAAAATTAAAAAAGCAATCAAAATATAATATTTGAAATTACAAAAAATGAATGTAACATCATTTGTAGCCTTGTAACTTATAATATAAAAATAAAAGCATTAAATGTCTAGTACAACAACAAAAGCATAAACATAAATTGTCTAGCACATGAAATTTCAAATATTCAATAGAAGAAATGATATGATTATCTTATTTAGTGGTTTGTCTTTAAACTTCCATATTATCTTCAACAAATATCATAACTTCTAATTCAAGCTCATCAAATCATAGCAATTTCTAATATTCCATATCATAAAGAGACTCAAATCCATCTCGAAAATGAGAGAACCTCGCTTACAGTCGCGGAAGTAAATACGATGGGTATTTTTTTCGATTATTTTTTTTTTTCAATGGACACACGTTTCGCGAATACGCGTGTCCTTTTGAAATTAAATAATATTTAAATTGGATATGGCAAAGCCATATTTATCACGTATCGGTGCCATATCAGAGATGTATTCGTGTATCAGTGTATCAGATACAACACACCTTCATGAATAGGTGTATCGGTACAACATAGTTATCAATTGAGACCGAATATTCGCATGTAAAAATCTGAAAAAAAAAAAAAAAAAGTGAACTAGTTTATAGTATTGTTTCATGTGGTATGCAATTCAAAACCCCATGTATAAATTTTGAAGAAACATACCATCTATACACTCAGTTTGCTTATGTGTTACATAAAAGTTTCCTTTTGCCTTTCATTGAGAAGCGCAAGAGCGATAATTATAATTATTTTTCTGAATTAATCATAATTAACACTAATTAAGTATAATTAATTACTTATAATTAATTATAATAAAAATTAAAGTTTATTAAAATTAATTAATTTTAATGAATTATAATCAATTAATAGCAGTTAATAATAATTAAAAAATTTTAAATTATAATTTATTAAAATAATAATTATAATTAATTATAATTAAAATTCTATTTAGAATATGTGTCCTAGGCACAGGTCAACAATTTATATATTAAATAAAAGGTAAGGTGAAACACAATCATACTTGAATCTTTGCACATACGCCCATATTTGTTTTTTCTTTCATGTGTTGATCCAATCAACTCTTGAATGGTGGCAAGCGTAGATCATTCATACATTTATATTATTGTTCGTTTCATCACTAGTTTGGATAGGTTCTTATGAAAATGCATGCTCAAAATTTTCATTTACTAGCTCATAGGAATTTGGATGCAAGTTTATGTTCCAATCATTGCATAAAATGGTGTTTAGTTATAGAGTTTTGTAAAAGTATTTATACTCTAATAATTGAGTGAATCATAGTTTAAATCTAAATTAAATGTGTATGATTTTAAAAGTCACCAATAGATTCATTCCCATTAACTGCTTAATTTCTCATATACTTTTATTAGCCTTTCATTCTAACAGCTCAATCTAATTGCGAGGCTTTGTCAAAATTTTATTAACCCAAATCTATATTGATAAAATCAATTGCGTGGGATCTTATTCAATAAAAAAGGATGTCATTAAAAATCAATTTAAATGCAATAATCCCTTTTAAAATGAAACTTGTGTAAATATTTCTTTTGTTAATTAATTCAAATGGTACGATCCTTCAATTCCAATTAGACTGATGAATAAAATGAGATGGTCATTTCATATTTTAATAGTTATATGTTGAACATGTTGTCCATTACCACATATGTAGATATGACACTTACATAAATATAAAGTAAGAGACTATATAGATATGTTTGATATTAACGAATTATATCAATATTGAAAAGTTATTATGCATATTTGTATCCCAATAGCATGTATAATTCAATATTCAAAGAGCCGTGATTAGATTGGATAATTTCATATATTATTTTATGCTTTGACATTAAATACAT